TGTATAACTATCAGCTACTCAGCAAGTCTCAGAAGGAGGACCTTACTTAATTATGAGGTGGATAAGTTTATGCATTTTACATTAGATTAGATCTAGCAGAGTCTTATCTTTATGAATTACACACAATTTATATAGAAGAGGCATCTGCTGTGGGGTGATGTTTGTGACACTAAAGATCCTACTAAGCAGAGGAACATAGAAAACTATAAACATCCCAATAAAACATCATTTAGTTCAATGCCAAGGTCAAGCCAACAATCTTCAAGTTGGATATCAATTCCATAACAACAAAAAGATAGGTAAACTGAAACTCAGATATATGGGTGTACTCTTCATTAAAATACATTCTGTCTGACACTTCTGCTTTCTGTGATGCAAAAGGGAAAAAAATGAAGGAAAAAAGGATCAAAAGGAACCTCATGATCATTTGGTGCCTTAGCGTTAGATAATCTTCTGAGCAAAAACTTAATGTGTAACACAAAACCCAACAAACCTTCTATTCACAAGTCACAACTTGCATCTCAAGAGACAAGTCTGCACAGGAGAATGATACACAGTGGATCATAAACAAGTATACATTGTACTGGCAACTTTTCCAGTGGGCTGGGAATTTCTCTAATATATTTCTATGTCTAAAAAAGTTTCCTTGCAATGAAATCTCAGTGTCATCAGGAAAAACTCTTTCCCAAACTGCTACTACATGTTATGCTGACAAGCTTTTCTTTTTTCTAAACCATGCCTAATACACATACACACGAACTAACTTCCATTTTGACAGTACTCTTCCCAAATTATCTTCCTGGTACAGCCATTAGAGTGATGAACACCCACACATGTGACTGGTGTCAAGAAGATGAACTTTTTCAATGAATCACACAAGCTGTCCACAAATAAACCTCACTGCTGAATCAAAGTTCCTCCAAGCTAAAAAGCTCGACAGGATCAACACTTCAGCATGACATCAAAATTTTATTTTCCGGTTGCATTCACAAGAGCTGTCATAAATAATAGTAATAACTATGGCAGCCTGTTCTCTAACAAAATCAAGGAGGAATAAAACTAGGGAGAAAATGAACACGGTGGGGTTGACAACATCTAGTACGCTTCAGGAAATGGAATAATATTTTTCTGCAGCTCTAACTTCCTTGAACCAGTAACTTCTTTTTTCCAAGTCTGAAACTAAATATAAACTTTTTCCCTCATGATCACACTCAGCAGGCAATCAGTCATAAATTCTGTAATTCTTCCACTAATAAATTAAAACATATCTCTAAAATCTCTGGCTATAGAACTTCTCTGATGAGTATTTTTGCCATTATTAGCACTTTTCTCACAGGAAATGCTTGAAAGATTTCCAGAAAACAGAAACCTGTTTCTCTTCCTTTCCATCCTGATAGAGCTTTAATGATCACAACATAGACTTCTATTGAAAGTTCCCAAAGTATTTACAATGCATAGGAATGAGACAGAAAGCTGTTTTTAGTTCACATGAACCTGATGAAAACGACTCTCAAGTTCTCCAACACTCTAAAGCTGCCAGCACTTGATCCTTTTCTCCCCTGCAGGAGTCTGTCCCCTGGAAGTGCAGACTCTGGGTGTGGGAACAACCTGCTGAGACTACCAATGGTTCTATTATTTGACTCATAAAACTTGTAAAAATCTCACAGAACGTACAACGTGCTATTGTGTTCGTAAATCTCTTTCATGACTTAGTTAGCAGCCTGTCTGAAAGCAGTCTGGCCTGTTTTTGCTGCTACCATAAAAGGATTTTTTGAAAGAGCCATTTAACTGTGACCATGGTTTCAGAAACGCTGAGAAGACAAAGGAAGGGCTGAAGTCATTCAGACACTTCAGTGCTCAGACTCCATCAAATCAGTGTATGTCGTTCCCTCAGAAGGAGCTTATGCATAATTAGCTCTCTTTGTATACTGAATGAACAAATACATCAATATTCAAGACGCATAAAACTGCCACTTGTGAGCTGTAGTTTAGATTTAAGCATTAGAAACCACAGTGCACAACCTATAGAAAGCAGGCTATCAAAGAACACCTTCAGAAGACTGATTTTATAATCACGTACTTTCTGTCTTGTGTCTTGAAAAGAATTAAAAGAAAAATAATGTATTTTGTATTTCCCATAGCCAGAGTATTTTTAAATACAAGCAATTAATATTACTTCTTGTCACCTGCAAGGAAAGAATTGTATAAACAGAAAATTGATAAAAGTGGCTTCTGAGTTTACCATCCCTCTCTGTTCTTTGTAGCAGTGCCTGTGGGTAGTCACTACTGCATGACAAACAGCACAAGATTCTCTGCACTGTGAAGCTGAGTAGAATGAATCAAAAGATATTTTTTTCTCATTCCTGAATGAATTATTCCCGTTCTATGTAAAGGAGATGCTGATAATCTTCCAGCAAGAGCACATACTGAACAAGTATTGATTAAAAAAAAGTATTGATTAAAAAAAAAAAAAAAAAAAAACAAGTAAGTCTAGCCAGTCTAAAATTACCTTCCATGGATTAAGTGTGCCCAAACAACCCTACACAGAGCATCAGACATGAGGATGGCACACATTTGATCGTTTCTGATAGATTGTTCAACACAGTCGGCTACTTGCTGCACAATATGGAGCAGCTCCCCAAGGGAAGCGTGGGAAATGAGCTCACCAACAAAGGTGCAGTCCCACATCACCAAGGTACAAGCAAGCTGAAGAGGGTGATGACACTGACATGTGCTGTCACAGACCAGCGAGCCTCAGGCAAGACAGGATAATGGACCAAGACAAAGGTCCATCTAGGGATTCTCACACAACAATTCAGAAATGGGGCTTAGGGGCAGCCACACCTAAGACAACTCAGGAATGGCCTGAAGCCACCAGTCTGAGCTTAAGCAGAAGTTCTGCTCACCAGATGTGGGTAGGGGCCCTGAGTGAGGCCAATTAGTGCCTTCAGGGTACCGAAATAGTAAACTTCATTAAGGACTGTAACTTGGTAGAGACACCAGGAGCCCGACTGCCTGAATACAAATAGACATTTGCAAATGCAAAGTTGCTACAAGCAAAGTGAGATGCTACAAAAAACCTGTTTTAAAGCTTTGTAACTTGAGTACCTTAATTTTCAGCAGTTCATACTTGACTTCATATGGCCTTCACCATCTATTCAATGAGCTGAAAATTCTATAAATCCAGAAAGCATTTTCTTATACTTCTTGAATTTGTGCCTTAAGACTTCTTCTCCAGGATTCCTATTTTAAAACCACTGAACTGTGGACCAAGTTTACAGTTCATTAAACTAAGATATATAGACAGGAAAAACTTTGTTAAAAGGGAGTTGAAGGAAAGGATAGTCCTTGTCTTCTTCCTTGTAAGCCTCTTTTCCCCAGGCTTTTCATCCTGACATCAAAGTTTTAATAAGTAAATTTAGCACCATGGTTTATTGACAAGAATCCAAGACAAGCTTCTACTAGAAAACTGAAAAGATGAGAAACCACATTTATAATATATAAAACTTGTTGCAACAAGACAAGACACATATTGATAAATTGGCACATGATGCATCTGCCTTTCACTTGGCTATATTATTAAAACTGTAACAATGTACACTGTTCAGAACAGTGCAAGATGTACAGCAAATTACATAATACAATCAACATGTCCACCACTGTTGCCCTTGGCATCCTTTTTTTTTTTTTTTTTTTTTTTTTTTTTTTTTTTTTTTTTTTTTTTTTTTTACAGTGCTCTCCAGACAGCTCTTGGCCTCCATCAAAGAACACTACATCATCATATCTCAGCATTAAGCTGTGACTAAGGTCAGGGACCTTGCAACACTGAACTAACTGATGTTTAGAGCAGAATTCTAGCAGCAGTGCTACGAGTCCTTTGGCAGCCCCTTTCCCCTTCTTCTTCCCTTCCCATTCTCTTCATCCCTTTTCTTACTCCAAACCGTAATTCCAGGTTTCACTCCAACCCTCAGCTGAGAGTGTAGCAGAAGACGCCTCTCCACATCACCATTTCTCCTAGTTTACTACTTCTATCAACCTGGACCCTACCCCAGGAACCTCTCAATTATCCTCAACCACGAACACCCAACAAAGGGAACTCTAACATCAGAAATCAACTGACTCTGGAATTTCCTCTTCAGTCTGTTACTATTGGCCCTCCTCAGTCTCTTTGTCACCAGAATTCTAACCTAAAGCAGAAATTCAAGCATCTGAGAAATTTAGACTGTCCACATGAATAGCTACAGACACATCCTATAGTCAAGGATAACCTGCGCTTCTCAAATACTTTCCAGAACATTATAATCTCCTAAAAGACAGAGGAATGGAACACAATAATTAAAGAATGTAATATCTGAGAGAAGTGACTTATACATCAGTTCTTTCAAGGTTCAATAAAAGAATATTCACTCAACCACAAAGGTATCAATTCAGTGGAAACTACAGATGTTATGTACAGCAAGAGGCTCTTGCTAAGGAATCACATTCCTAAGGTTTCTTCCAGAGTTTCTATACTGCCAATTCAGGATTGACTTTTATAAGATTTATGAATGCTTCAGAGTATTTGTGATTTACACTAACATAATACATATTTATGTATTTTTCAGCACTCTGATATGTACAAAAGGAAAACAGGATATACAATTTTGCCAAGATTTCAGCTGCTTTTCAGATCAGAAGTGAATTTTTAACTGTAGCATCAAGTAAGTATAGACCTGACTTTTTGTTGGTTTTTTTGTTTTTGGTTCTTTTAAACTGTTAACAAAGACAAGTTCATGGGTAGTCACCACTTAACTGAAAAGAGGCCCCAGTATCCAAATGAAACACAACACCCAGAAGCGTTTCACCGAACCACAGAGAAAATGGTCTGATATATTTATAATAGTTTCACTATAGCAAAAGACAGACAGAAGCACCATTTGCCTACAAAAGACTGGAAATACTCGTGAAGTTCAAGTTCCATACTGAATGAAATATTTGAAGGATAAGAACTGGTACCTTACCTTAACATACTCCAAAGTAGGATCTGGAATATTCTGATCTCTAGAACAGAATGGGGCAAGAGGGAGAAGAGAAACAAACAAAAAAAAATGGTGAGTCCAAACATTTCTAGTATTACTGAATAGATCATGTTAAAATTCTTGCTAAAAATTGCCTCTGTAAAGACAGATGGCCTACCCAATCATTTAAGAAATATATTAAACATCAATTCCTTCTGGAAAATCAGTAGAGGGCTACTGTTACTGAATTTTGGAAATAAACATCATTACACAGATTTAAGTATAATGATGTTTATCTATACAGATTTAAGAACTAAAATTTCAGAGGGCTGAAAATAATCAAGTTACCTAAAACATTTCAAGTAAATTAAAGAGAGAGAACTCTCAAGCTTTTCAGTTTATTCCTTTCTTGTATGTTTTCCCATTTAGGTTACTGGTAATGACAGGATTGAGAGGGCACTCACTGCTAACAGAATAGAAAGTAAAACACAACATTCACTTTTTATATCATCAAAGCAAAGAATTAATGGGTTTGCAAAAGTATAATATTTTACATTTTGAAAAAAAAAGGTTCTTGTACTCTTTCACAAACTTCACAAAATTATCGTAACTTCAACATTACAATTATTTGAAAGTCAAGTAATCAAGCCATTGCTCTGTCTTAAAAATAAAATCTGTTTTTGCAGGTTGTCTATACATGCACATGACAAATATTCCCAAGGGCATAGAACGCTACATTATAAGCCTTGTTATCAATTATAACTCTCGCAATAAATAGGAATAAAAACAAATATGTTTTCAAAGGCTTCTGTATATTTGTTTTTGTTTTGGAGTGAGAAGGTTACTAGAATTTGCAACATAGGCTAGGATGATTTCTACAGACTGAGATGACATACACAGCACTAATTTAAACACAAACACACAAACATGCAACAGACACGATGAAAATCTTGCAGACTCATAAAGCCATCAGGAGCCTGTTATGGCAATCCAGTTTGCCACGCTGCCAACACATGCCCAAAAATTTAGAAAGGGAATTCTGTTCAAGTGGAAGTTGCTATGATGTAACACTGGAAATTTCAGCAGGTTCAGACAGGTAGAAAATGGGTTACATTGGAATCAACCATCTCAAAATACTGTTTCAAACTTCACATTCATTTGGAATGTAATTGCTTATCATCAGAAACTAAGCTTTGTTTAATACTCAGTTTTAGGTTGGATTCCCTCACAGCTCTTAATCTAAAAGCAAAACAGAGCCCTTCTGCTTCACAGCCCTGCCTCCAAAGAATATTGCAAAGTTCAGTTGTCCAGGTTGGATTGCATGTTGCTATTTCTCACTATCCCAGTACTTATCAACAATCAAATTCCATTCCCAGTTAAGTTTAAGAAATAAAAAAACACCAATGATGCCAAATCCAGTGGAAGTAGAATTTGGTCCATTTGAAGTATTTTCTTAGGCAATATCCAAAAGAGAGATATTTGGGCAACCGTACACACACAAAATACATGCAAACATATCAGAGAAAACAGGTGAAACACAGAGGAAAAAGGAAGCTAGTGTAGAAAAAAAAAAAAGAAAAAAGTTTTCTTTCACAACATTTAGCAATTTAAGTGGGGAAAAAAATCCCATTCTTAATCAGTACAGCAAAGTTCATAAGCATGGCTAAACTTTTCTCATACCCAAATGATCTGTGGAAAGTTCTGACAATTCTGAAAGCTGTGAAAAAAATTAACAATTTATTTTGCAATTTACTCATCCCTTGCCTGTGGAATCGTTCAGAAACAGGATCTAACAGTGCTGTATTTATACTGTACTCCTAAACAATGAACCTAAGTGATAAAACTAACTAGTTAACTGCTACTTTAGCAGTGAGAACGGTTTCTTCTGGTATTCACAAACTTTAGTCCTGTACACTGGCCTTGCTATGGACTCTACTGTTCCCACTGTCAAATGCAAAGCAACAGATCTTTAGGACAGATCAAGCCAAAGGAAAATAAATAAAAGAAGTAGAAACACTCCAAGACAAAGCAGTCTGTTTACTGCCATATAAAGCAAAGAAACCAGGACTGAAAGAAAGCGACCTACTTTTCTTTCACTGTTCTTACCATCCACAAGAGAAAAGTGCTTTGAAAATTTTGGGCTTGGGAAAAAGACTACAAAAGCACCGTAATATTTAATCTGATGAACTGATACACAATAAAACATAGCAAATCCTACAGTGCCCCACTACTACAGCTTATGGAAAGGGATGCTTATGCTGTAAACCCTCCTCATCTCAGCCACGTTCTCCTACCAGATCTTCCCTCTTTTCTCCCTACCTTATGTTGTCTAAGTCTCCATCTCTGTGCAATTTTTTTGAGATTATTTTCAAGGAAGGTAACTTTCACTGATGTGCAATAACTAATAGTAAATATTAATTATTTCATTTTTATATCTTGCAATTCCAGCATAAAGCTGCCACACTAAGCAGTTGGCCAAAACAACTAGGAACTGAGCACAAAACTAACTCCTGAGTCTCAGCTCTCAGTTAGTAGTGACGAAGCACCATTTATGTCACGTGCTCCCAGCAAAGGAAACCTATCCTGTCAAGACCCTCAAGAAAACTAAAAGCTCCTTTTTTTTTTTTTTTTTTTTTTTTTTTTTTTTTTTTTGGTAAGTCATCTTAATAAAAAGGGCAAATTCACAACCACACTATTTGTATAGGATAGTCTTCAGGAAAAAAAACAACACAACATTTTAAGATAAGTACTTGCAGGCTCTGCTACGTCTCAAAATCAATTCAATTGAAGCTTTGTTTTGATAACACCAAACTTTTCCTCTTTTATTAGATTTTACTACATTTCAAGTAATGCTAATGTTTCTCTTCATAATGAGCTTGACCTTACAGCTTTGTTCATTTGCATCCTTACCCACAATATGTACAAATTAGAGTCTGTAAGTCAACCATTACTGTGTGAACTGTGGGTTCACAGGTTGGGTGTTATTACATATTCTGGCTTCCTAATAATCAGATAAGCTCAATTTTCATTCAGCCAAAAAGCCCATTAAATGCAGAAAGAATCTGGAATATTTTCAGAATGCCTCAAAGGAAGGCACTGGGTAAGTGCTCAATAGGTCATACAGAATTGGCTTCATACTCTTTTCATACTCAGACTGTCACAAAATATAATTTAAGATAGAGATGTGAATATGTATTCCCATATCTATTTTGGGTATTCACAACCTTGCCATTTCATTTCAAGAGCTAAAAAACACAGCCTCTCTCCAGAGTGTTTAACCCTTCTCCACATGTACAAATAGCATACATGTACACATGTACAAGTCCTCCACACATCAGTGTTGAAACTGCAGTAGAATAAAATACTCCTCCAGTAACAATTCACCAGTACAAGTAAGCAGTTAATCATCACACTCTTAACCTCCACCATTCTAAGGCTGTCCTGGCCAGAAGCACATTCTTTCTTGAGCTTCCCTTGATATGTCTGAAAACATCTTTCTCACTGCTGGAGCACAAACCCCACTCTGATCATTCAGCTCAGTAGGTGCAGAATGGCCAGAATTTGCAAGCAGCTTCTCCTTTTCTGCAGACTCTGAGGTTTGTTCAATAATTCTCTAGCACTATATCAATGAATAATCTTTAAGCAGATATCCTACTATTTTTTTCTATCCATTTTAAGAAAACCTCCATCTTTATACGATTGTATGTTACCTTCCAACCTCTTTGCTGCTGTGAAGAGCCCTACAGCATACAGACCTGCACAGACTAAGCCACGTTAAGCACCTGCTTTCTCTGGTCCTTTGCCACCCTCATAGCCACACTTATCAAGTAACTGTGATAACTTCAATACAATTTAAGTGTGGACATAACAGTAGTATTATCAGAGATGCCCAAATCCTCATCATCATTCAACTAGATAATAATTCCTACGAGTTATGAAAACTGCTGACAGTCCCTTTGTCAGTACATTACATTACAGTACATTATTTGCGCTACTTAGTGCTTTTATAAATGTTCTTGTGGGGAAAAACATTAGCACACATTGCTACAAGAAAGCATGTTTCTTTGTTTTACAGAGACCATTGCTAGTGACATTTTTTAAAGCAGCTCCTTTCTTCTACATTGAAAAAGCAATGCTGAGAAGAACAAATTTTTCAACAGTGCCAAGGCTGCTGTCTGACAAATCAAAGTGAAGACAGTAGAGGCTCAAAGGAACCCGATAAACTGAAAAATGCACCAACCTGTTGCATGGCTGGTTAGACAGACAGAACTGCTATAGAGACCAGATAGGATTTAGAAGCCTTCTTCAATTTGCCTCCAAATTCCTTCCATCTACATAGATTTAAGAAATACACAACTACTTAATTTTAAAGGTACAAGTCTGAACACGCTAGACAGACTGTATTTAAGTATACATACTGCAGATTAATGTTATTTGCACTGTAAACTAGAGTAAAAGATGTGGTGATTTTATCCTTGAGCAGCTTCTGCATAACACACACACTCCTACTACATTCCTAACTTCATTCCTCTCTTCTGTCTACAGCTGCACAACGCTATGAACATGACTCACTCAAACACCAGTGGAAACAAGTGCAAACTGCTATGTCTAACTGCATAATGACCTACAGTTCACACAAGAACATCAGGGACTATTCAGTAATTAAAACTCAAGAAAAGATAAAACATCCTTTTCTCTGAAATTAAATAAAATCTTCACTCATTCGTATTTAGCTTCTGCAGAGCTAATATTATAGCCATTTACTGTCATCACTTTCATCTTCTGCAATCCCTTCACTTGGTCCATTCTACCTATCAGAGCAGAAAATCTACCCTACTTTTATCACCTTTTCCAAGTCAACTTCTAATTTTGAACCACAGACAGTACTGTTCTCTCTACAATTCAACCAAAAGCCCAAAGTAAGAGCTTCCATTATTCTATTTTCCATAACATTTAGAAATCCAAGAGCCAAAGTTTGCTCTTTAAAGCTGTTCTTAAGCATTCTTTTTCCAGGACAGTCACAGTGCTGTGAAAGCAGTGGTTGTGCAGCAGAACTATGGCTTATCAAAAACAGGCATGGCTTTTATAAATTTTTCTGCATACGTGCTGCCATCTGTTGATTTATACCTTCGTCTGGCAACTCTGTACAGTCAGTGCCTTGTTTGCTGTAGTTCCTCAGAATTGAGTTATTCAGAAATTTAAAATCATTTTAATTTATTCAAATAAAGAAAGCAGCACACTCAATAGTATCACAGATTCTACCAAATTATCTGAAGCTCATGTAAATTGAGGTACAAAAATTACTCACAAAGGATGATTATCACCTAGCTGATGTGCTTTCAATAAGTTTGACCTGAAACAAAGGAAAGCTAATTCTTTGTTTTAGCACTAAGTAAGAAGATGATTTGAGGAAAAGTTGTCCTACCTGACTGCTTCTTTAATTCAGTTTAAACTCATTGCATCAGGCACCAGATGTTTGCTCACCAGAGGAGAGCAAGCTATATAATATACTGCCCTATGTGACATTTAACTCTGCTGCATATATTTCACTCAATTTCATTGATTTCCTCCTTACTAACAGATCAGAAATTTATAACCCTACATAATTGCTTGATTGCTCATCTCCCGTCTTCACATCATCCAACTGGGTTGTACTTTGACAAGTTGGTACTAGTGAGTTGCTCAGCACAGAGCTCCAAGAATATGCAATCTCATCATCACGTAATAAACTGTGGCTTCTACAAGTACTTTCAGAAGCCAGTAGGTATCTCACAATCTATCATGAAAATACATATCAGACTGCAACATAAGAAAAATCACAATGCAGAGTACCTTTCACAATGCAGACTATCTTTCACTAATCAACATTTTTTACTAGAAAGTAGAAGTACAGACATACATAGTTTCAGCCAGAGTGTGACAGACAGGTTCACGGCAACAGACATACAATCAATAAAACTTATGATACAGAAATGATCAATCAAAGGTAACCAGAGGTATCGATCCTTCTAATGATCTTGCAAATAGTTTCATATCTGAAGAACTGTACTGCCACATTTAAATTCAACACACACTATTATCATATCAGTCCTTAGAGTTGGAAGGGACCTTTAAGGGTCACCTAGCCCAACTCCCCTGCAATGAACAGGGACATTCTCAGCTAGATCAGGCTGCTCAGAGCCTGGTCCAGCCTGGCCTTGAACATTTACAGTAACGGGGCTTCCACCACCTCTCTAGGCAACCTGTGCCAGTGCCTCACCACCCTCACTGTAAAATACTTTTTCCTTATATGCAATCCAAATCTACCCCCTGTCCTATGACCTCAGATGCTGCTAAAGAGCCCATATCCTTCTTTCCTGTAGCTTCTCTTCAGATACTGAACAGTCAACTCTGAGCCTTCTCTTCTCCAGGTTGAACAGCCTCAGCCCTCTCTGTCCTCACAGGAGAGGTGCTTCATCCCTTGGATCCTTTTTGCAACCCTCCTCTGGACATGCTCCAACAGGTCTACATCTCTCTTGTACAGAGGACCCCACAATCTAGAAGCAGTACTCCAAGTGAGGCCTCACCAGTGCAGGGTAGAGGGGCTGGATCACCTCCCCTGACCTGCTGGTCACACATCTTTTGATGTAGCCCAGGATATGGATGGCTTTCTTGGCTGCGAGGGCACACTGCTAGCTTATGACCTTGTTAGCTTCCAATCCACCAGCACTCCCAAGCTCTTTTTGGCAGGGTTGCACTCAATCCTTTCATCTCCCAGTTTATATTGCAGGTGGGGATTGCCTCGATCCAGGTGCAAGACCTTGCACTTGGCTTTGTTGAACCTCAAGAGGTTCGCCTGGGCCCACTTTCAAGCCTATGTATAGATCCGTCCGGATGACATCTTGTTCTTCAGTTGTGCCAACTGTATACCACAGCTTGGTGTCATCTGAGGATGAACTTGCTGAGGATGCACTTGACCCACACTCAATGTCATTGATGAAGACACTAAAGAGTACTGGTTCTGGCACTGACCCCTTAGGGACACCACTTATCACTGACCTGCATCCAGACACCGGGACACTGACCAATACTTCCTGGGTTTGATCCTGCAGCCAGCTCTTCGTCCATCAAACAGTACATCTACCAAATCCATCTCTCCCCAATTTGGAGAGAAGGGCACTGTGAGGTACTACATCAAGGACCTAACTAAGTCCAGATTGATGACATCAGTGGCTCTTAGGCCGATGGTTGGTCAAGCAGGATTTGTCTTTGGTGAAGTCATGATGGTTCTCTCATATCACCTCCGCCCTGTCTTACATGTGCCTCAGCATAGCTTCCAGAAGAATCTGCTTGATGACCTTTCCCATCACAGAGGTGAGACTGACAGGTCAGTAGTTCCCTGGGTCATCCTTTTTACTGTTTTTAACACAATGGGTGTGATGTTGTCATTTTTTCCAGTCACCAGGCATTTCACCTGACTGTCATCACTTTTCAAATATCATTGAAAGTGGCTTGATGACTACATCAGCCAATTCCATCAGGACTCTGGGATACATCTCACCAGGATCCATAGACTTGTGGATGTTTAGGTTCCTCAGGTGGTCACAAACCTGATCTTCATTCACAGTTGAGGGATGTTGTCCCTTCTTTCTGAACCAGTCATTCAAGGGCTGTGTGATGAGCAGTTATCAGAGAAGACAGAGGCAAAAAAGTTGAGTACCTCATCCTTCACCTTGTCTGTCGTTACCAGTTTGCTGGTGTCACTCACTGGAGGGTACACACTCTTGTCTTTCCTTTCCTGGCTGGGTTATATGTAGAAGGGTATCTTTCTTGTTCTTCTTGGCACCCCTTGCTACGTTTACTTCAAGTTGGGCCTTGGCTTTTTTGACACCATCCCTACGCAGCCTAGCAGCCTCCTTGTAGTCTTCCTACAGTACATGTCCCTGTTTCTACTGCCTGTGTATTTTCTTCTTGTGCTTCAGTTTGATCAGCAGGTCCCAGTTCAGCCATGTCAGTCTCTTGTTTTCCTTTCCTGACTTCCTATCCCTTCCAGGGATGGAGAGCTGTTATGCCCCAAGGAAAGATTCCTTAAAGATGTGCCAGCTCAATTATTTACTAGTTTTTTCCTCCATACAGAGGAGGGAAAAAAAACAAAAAAAACCCACAACAACCAAAAACCCTGTAAAACACTTAATTGATACAATTTTATTTTCATCTTAATTTTCAAAGTGTATCCAACAATGTGCTTTAACTGTAGACAGAACAGACCTACAAAAAAAACATTCAAACTGAAACTGATCAACAAATAGCATTTATATAATAAATATTATATTATTCATTTTGAATGATTAAAAACGTTATCAATATAATGTTTTTTAAACAAATTATGAAGCTTAAAACAATGACATGCCTGAGTTCAGTATAAGCATATCCATATACACATGAAGCACTGTAATCCTAAAAATGGTTAGTTCTGGCCTACTGATGTCAAACACAACATTACAGTTGAACAGCACACCATGAATTTGACTAAATCTTTCACACTTCTAACTTTTGTGAGCAGCATGAAAGCAATGAAAGACTGCTTTACTCTTAATTATAATAAACATTATACACATCTCTATAACAGAATCAAAATACTACAAGGCTATTTTGATAAAACACAGATAAGGTAGTGTGGAATTTCCTATACTATAGTATAACTGATGCAATTAACCAACCAAACAATCTGAACGTGAGCCTAAGCATTAGAATATATACCTTAGCCTATATGGCAGAATGTGTACCACAGGAAAATAAGACTTACTCTCTCATTTTTTACTTTTTTTTTAAACAAGCAAAAGGTGCAGAGTCATCACAAGAGGACTCAAGAAGTGTAAACTTGACAGCAAATATGATGATGACTCAGAAATTGCTACCATAGCATTGTGTGTATTTTAGTAAAGCCCCTGGGAGACCAAACAGAAATAGCACTTGCTGTTATGACTCAAAAGATGTAAATACTACTAATTGACATTACTGCAAATGGAAAATTATGTGGAAATGTGAAATATTCAGTAAGTTTAAAAAAAAAAAAAGATTCTCAAAATTCCTGAAATCTATCCATCAGATTCCATCCTACCTCAAATATTGCAAATTTTACACTTTTTTTGTTTGGTTTCCTCTCATCAAGAAGCAAACCAAGTACTAGACGGGAAATCAGCTTCCATTAGCACACAAAGTTATAACAGCTGCACCTGTAACTAGACATTTAGAGGCCTTGGAAAACATCTAACAATCCCTATGCAACAGGCAAATGTAAATTAAGACTTCATAAGTACCTGGTATGGAGTTTGTTGCTCTTCCCATTTTGCAGAGGGTACTCTTCTATGACATCCTGTACAAAAGGTGGCTGTTGCCTTTGTGTTCTGGTGTATGGTAACATTCCCACATGGCTAAACATATCACAAGCCCTAACTTTAACTGTTCCTTTCTTCTTCCTGGGGAGAGTGCCATGGATAGATATGTCTTGAAAGGAGTCTGAGTGATGCTCAGTTAGTGAAGGTTTGGTGGTCAAAAGGTCCATGGACGATGCTAATGAGAACTGATGGTTCACTGAGACATTTCTGGGAAGACTTGCAAATTTCCCTGTGGCTATCATTCTTGATTCTGGAGGAGGGGGAAAAAAAAAAAAAAAAAAAAAAAAAAAAAAATCAGTATGAATTAAAGCCCCATTTTAATGGAAATTAAATATCATGATTAACAAAAGCACCTAGAACTGAACTTCACTTTGCATTAATGCAGCTCCTTCAAGGCATAGCCTGTATTACAATCAAGTCACATTCTGCCCAACTGCATATGTCAAGTACATGTGTTTATTAACTTTTACACATTCCACTTTTATGTACCAACTTCTTCTTTTTAATTCTTTACATCCTCTGAGGAGTCAGACACCAAATCAAAATAATTAATAAAAAGCAAAAGTTTTAAGAGCATTTTGACAAAGAATAAGGAACACAACAGACTGGTTTGGAAGAGAACATTTCTAAATCCAGTGAATGGCACACTGTTAGGAAAAATCTTCCTGGACAGTCTTGCTCATGTAATAAATCTAGCAAAGAACCCATCACACATTTCTTACTGGCTGAAAACTAAAGGGCTCTATCCTAGAGATAAAGGCAGGAGCAGATTACTGGAATTCTATTCTGCAGCATGCGCAGCCTGTTTGCTCAAATCATTGTTGACAGTAGGGATTTACATAGCTGTCAGTCTCTTTTTCAATCAATTATAGCCTGCTGTACAGTACAGGATTTTCTGTTATCGTGAGCAAAAAACCTTGTGAGACAGACACTTCAGACACACTAATGGATCCCTCTTCATCAAAAGGAAGAAAAAAAAAACACCCAAAAAACCACTCCACCTATCTCATGCTCACTTCACAGTGTTATATTAGAGAAATCAAGATGCCTTATCCTATCCACATATATTAGCCTACAAAAGGCATTCTATGGAATAAACAACACAAGGTCAATCAACCCCACACTATCTGACCCAGATGGTAGCCAACCAGGTGTCTCCTGTGCAAACTGGAAAAACCACACAAGCAGCACAGACTGATAATCAGAAGGCAGGAAAGATTTTCTGAAGTAGCTGACTGAGAGAATCTGTTCTGACTTGGTTTTGTTTCGTGTCAGGAAAACAAAACAAAACAGAGTAGTACCTCAAAGGCCTAACAGTCTGGAAGACAGCTTCCAGCTACACAAGAATTCCTCTGGTTCTGGGAAACACACAGGTGTTGCAGCAGAATCAGAGCTGCGTTGAATAGTCCTGCTGGCTTCTCCAGCCTGAGCACCACAGATACTAGGAAAGTGAGGCTGCACTGATACTATTGTTACTTCTCTCAGAGGTTGTTGTAACAGGCTTAGTTTTACAGTAACAATAAAACTGATCTCAAATTTATTCTGCTATTTTCTTCCAGCTGTGTTGCAGATTCACAGGTTTCCAGAATTCCATCTCAAACTCTATCCCACTTCTCCCATATTGAAAGTCCTACAATAAATACTCAGTTATGATAAATAATACTTAGACTATGATTTTTTTTTTATCTTTAATTTGCCAAGGCTTCCAGCACAGCTGCAATATACTCTAGCAGAAAAGCCTCTGGACATAGCAGTTCTGATTATCTGTTTGACTTTGCTCAGGTTTCTTGTTGCAAAGAATAGAAAAAGAGCTGAGAAGTTAAAATGAAATGATTTTGTTAGTTACATAGATCCAAATAATACTCAACACTTGAAAGAAAGAAAGCCACATACTCACAAAAGTCCTTAATAAATTATAATACGGGCCCTCGGTGTGAAATACTGTTATCAAGTGCCTTGAGGGTACAGTTTCTGATTGTTATTATTAATAATATCACATGATCATTTTCAAAATAAAACGAAGTGCTGCAAGGCCTTTGTAAATACAAATATTTGTATTTACTTGTAATATATTTGTATTTATTTGTAATACAAATATCCTAAGCAAAACAACCGGTCCACAGATAAGAAGCTCCATAATGCAAGTGTTTACCACAAAGCTACAGTTTCCTAGCTAGAACAAACTGACAGAGTTCCTTTCCAGTAAAATCAGCTTTATTATTACAGAGGAATAACAACATTGATCTCAAGCAACAAGGGAGTAAAAAAATCAAATTAAATTAAGCTTCTTAGAAGTCACACAATCATTTCAAAACCTCAACCCTTGTGTGCTTAATGTAAGGAAGCAAATATCACTTATAAAGGAACTGAAAAAATGGAGGTCACCTCGCTCATATTTCCAAATGCATTGCTATTTCCTTTTTGGGCTGAGATTCTGTACTTAATAATCATATTTTCTTATTGATTTATTAAAAAACTCACACCTTCAAAACTCTGAATTTTGACTATATAAATGTAGATCATATAGTCAGAAGGAATTTGCTTAGGCTTTCCTGCAAGATCCCACCATGCTGAAACAAAACATAGTATTTCATATAAATTGGTAGTAAAATTGAGTAGGTATAAGCATAACCAAAGGAAGCTTCAGTTTAATAGTACCAGGTGAGTCCACAATAGGACTTATAATGGCAATACACTCTCAACAACTTTTATGGATCCTGTTCAAGGATTCATAAAGATAATTATCCCCTCTCCTAACCCAATCCCAGGATAATTATAGCAATCCAATAGATTTCCAATTCAATATTCACCAAATAAATGATGACTCTCTGAAATCCACCATTTTCCTTTTAATTTCCCCAGAAACCCTTCTTAAAATAGAAAAACCAACTGTACTTCCATCAATTATGTCCTAATCATTGTACCTTTTATAAAAACTCACTCCCTCAGTAACATCCTACATTTCTCATATTCAACACCTAATTCCCAAATTCGCATTTCTTAATTTTTTTGAGTAATCAAGTTAAAGTTCCCCACCTAAGAAATATCTAATATCTAAGAACTTCTAGGACACTTTGCCACAATTGTGTGCACACAAGCTTTGAAATGTCAAGCAATACTCTGCTCAAAAAACCAAAACAAAACACAACAACAACAACAAAAACAACAAAAAAACAGCCCAGATCTGCTAACTTCTACCCAAAAAATTATCTGCCTATTTGCTGTTATATGTATTCTTGACAAATGGCAACTGAAATTACAGCAACTAACTTGGTAACAAATGTCTTGCCAAACTTGCCATACATTTTTTTTTGTATTGAATGTAAACAATGCAAGGAGGGAGCCTCTTCAGCTGAAGAATCTGGAATGTCTCAAATACTTCAGCATATGATTCAAAGAATGTCTGTCTTTGTTCGACTAGAGATAGAGCCCCTTTTAGTTTTACTTCCTAAAAGACACAGCACTTAAAACATCTGCAATCATGCATTCAACAATGGAAATGGTAGAACTAATAGCAGACAGATAGGCCAAAAGTCACTTAGATGAACAAATTCCTATTTGCCAAAATGTAGCATTTAACAAAACAGAGCACTTCATGAGTCGTGCAAGTTCCCTCTAACTATGTACAAACAGTTTATTTCTTGACAGTATACTGTTAAAAAAAAAAAAAAAAAAAAGCTAGATTTTGGTGGGTTTTTTTTGTTTGTTTTTGTTTTTTGTTTTTGTTTGTTTTTTAATGGAGAATGGGATTTCCCTTCCTTCATTCCATAACTGAGGGAACTATTAGGGCAGAAGTCAGATTCTAAGTTCAGAAAATTGGAGGGCATGAAGTGTTTCCAGCTAACTTCTAACTTGTCTTTTGGTTATGAGTGGGGAGAAAAGGGAATGAATACAAATTAAGTTATTTTTAAAATCAACACGGCCTTTACAAAACCTTATGAGATTATGCACAGAATGACATACATATCTGGTGGGCAAGATCAAACATGAACAAAGCTTGAACCCAGTGGGATGGGTATCTCTTCATATCATTGCTCCAAACCAAAAAAAAGACATGAACAATGAAAAACTTTGCTTCCTCCAAAATTATACACAAAAATCTATTCATGCCCTCTTGGCTTTGGAATGCAGATGTATATGCTGCTCTGAAAGTAATTCCTCCTATTTCCAACGAAACTACTACAGATACAAAGAACACAATGACACCGCCCTATAAAGAAAATTCTCAGCTACAAAACACTATTTTTCAACACAGTCACCACCACGAGCTATGCATTTTTGCCATTGATGACCAAGAACGTGCACACTGTGCTCATAAAAATCTGCACCAGTGGAGACAGTCCACTTTGCTGACGTCACTGCTGAAACCACCACCCACTGCCTCACTGTGCTCACATTCACTTTGTGGTCTCCATCAACGTTCAGCAACAGGCGATAAATGTCAGTGAGTGCCTTTTTTTTTTTTTTTTCCCCCACATGGAGTGGAAAAGGTGACACACCTTTGCTTCACATGCACTTCCATGTCAGATCCCATTCTGCCAGACCATCCCTTTGCTGCCATCTGGCCCACAGCAACATATGTAATGGAATATTGGTGGGAAGCTTCAACTTCTACTGCCACAGCACCAACATCCGCCTATGACACCGTGGGCGAACACAATAAAATAGCAGGCATTGCACAGTAACAGCCCTCATACAAACGTTCTGCTTCAGACTTCACAAAAAATTTTGGATGCAATTCATAGGCTGAAGTTTCACTCAGGTTTGACATGGATGCAAAAGTAGGCAGCCTTTCCATCCCACAAGGAAACAAAACCAGTGCCATTGGCCATATCTTGCTTTCATACCTTAGATGAGGGGAAGAGAAGGAAATTTCTAGTTTGGTGTCAGAGATTTGTGAATGGCATAACCAACAGTCCAAGGCTGTATATGGACATGAAATATCATAAAAGGTAACTGAAAAGCAATTTTCAAGCTCTGAATCAGACTCTCAAGGTATATCAAAACTCTGAATTATATCTAAACCAGTTTTAGATATCAAATCAACAATATTCTGAGAGAAGTGTGAATATTCTAACAGGGAGAACTAGCAAGACTTCAGACTCTCTGAAGTCTAGACTTGGCGTTATCACATCACCATCACCATGAGTCACTTCACTCACTTCTTTATCATTATGTACACTATAAAGCTAAGAGGGCTAGAAAATGGTTTAGTATATCCAATCAAAGGACAACTGCCTTATGTTCTTACGTCTTTAATGAAGACGACTTTTGTAAGAACCGCACTTACTTTTGACACAGCAAGTTTCCTTACAACCATCTTCCACCTTCCCTCCAACCTTACAAAGCAGTAACAGCAAATACAGAGGGATACAGAACTTCGATCTTACTGTAGTTACCAGGTATGTTTGCACGTGCTACACAGATTTTGTGTTAATCATTTGCTGAGAAGCAATATAGAGTCATCTTCACTAGTATAGAAAGAAACAAGAAAAGACTTTTTCTTCTCTCCAAATGGCTACAACCTGTATTTTTTGGGTTTCTGTTTGTTAAACAAGATAAACTTACGCAGTAGCTGCAAGGGGTCACAGGACTTCGAGAAGAATATGAAGGCTCAAGAACTTCTGATAAGCAGAAATAGATTGAGAAAGCATACACAGTAGTACAAAGGCTTTAAGCTGCTATCAGAAAACATGCAAGTCTGTCAAACATCAGAAACTCCCCACAGGATTAAAGACAGGTCAGTGCTTCCAAAGGGCCCTGGGGAGTTACCAAACTGTTTTTGCTCTCTCCCTGTATATACACATGACTTTCCCCATAGATCCCTGCACTGTAATCTGACAATCTTAGATATGCTTTATAACTAGCATTCTAAAGCAACTGAAAGCACGTAGGCCAGGACATGTTATCTTTGAATTTGATCTGTTTTGAGATGAAACAAACAGATAGAACCCGTGCTTTTCTTCCTGAGTTTTCACACTCAATGCCCCCACGTCTATCAAAAAAAAAAAAAAAAAAAAAAAAGCCTTAAAAAGCAATCAGTGAAGAGGGTTCAACAAACAAGTAGATCTCATCATTTGCTATAATCTCATAAACTTCAATACCCAACTAAAACCAACAGAGTTAGTTCTGTGCTGCTAGAGCCTTAATTTGCACTGAACATTCTAGCTCCATTTTGCTGCAGAAAGCAGAGCTCACCACGGTTACACTCCAATCTAAGTGTCTCTCAGCTAATGCTTCAAAACACAACTTTTGTTCCTCCTCTAGGAAGTAATTTATTATTTTCTTGCTATTGTATTCCCATGATTTTAATAAAAGAAAATCCTACACTAACCGCAAATTAAATACTTCAAAAAATCTTTTTCAGCAGCAAGTACGTGCTTTATGATTTTGAACAACCACCTTATCTACACCGCAGATTTGGACAGAAAGCAGCGCTTTTGTACAAACTCCTCTTTAACGGATCAAAGAAGATGGCAGCAGTATTTCCTTTCTCCCTAGCGAAACACCTCGGTACCCCCAGCTCATCGATTTGTACACCTGCGAGCACCCGCCGCATTTCCGCGGCCGCCGGCTCACGTATGGCACCGGCCCGCGGCACCCGCAGCGCTCCGCCTGCCCACGCGGCCGGGCCGGGGAGCGCCGCGCTCCTTCGGGAGCACGGGCGCACATCAACTCTCGCACAAACCCCGCTCGTCGTTCTCCGTCCCGAAGGAAAACGCCGTCCCAGCAGCCGCCGGTCTGATCGCTCCCGTTCCGGCTCGGCTTCGGCTCCGCTCGCGGCCGGGCGGTCTCCCTTCGGGCCCGCAGGGCGGCCGGGGCGAGGGGGGGCCGGGGCGCCCGCAGTAACCGCCCGGGGCGTTCTCGAAGGGCCCAGGGTTTCGCCCTGCCGCGGTGGAAACCGGAGCGAAGACTTGCGCCAGCCCGCCCCGAAGAAGAGCGGATCGCGATAACTAAAGGTGACTCAACCTCCTGAGCGCCTTATCGCTCGCCCGTCGGCAAGCACAGACGGCGCCCCGGACCCGGTCGCGGACCTCGGTTCCCGGGCTCCGCGACCGCCGCCCTCACCCCAGCGCACAGCCCGACTCCGGGCGCCACTCACCTGCGGGGCTGCGTGGCGCCGCCCGAGCCCGGCCGTGCGGGAGTCCGGCAGCGCGGCGACCGCGGGCGCTGTGAGCAGCGGGGGCGCTGATTTACGACGCCCCGCCCCTCGGAGAGCCGCCGGGACACACGGCCGCGTACGCTCGGTGACCTCGCGCTGCTCCTTTTCCCTCGGCTTTAAGAACTTGGCTTCCGTAATTTCTTCTCTCAAATTAGCACTGCAAAACTAGAATTAAGTTTCCCAAATCCACCCTGCTGACGGACAGTTCAGAGTACGTTGCTTACATGCCATTCACCAATTCCTTACATCGGCAGACTTCCCCCTCGTCCCACCACGTCACAAGCAGTTATCTGGGCAACAGGTTTGGCGGATCGGAACAAAGACTCAAACATCTGTAAGGGGATCAGGCAGAGCAGCTGAAGGCAGCAAACTCACCACCCTCTCTTTCCTCAAAACCAGAAATGCTGAGCTAGTTCCCTGAAGCTACCAAGAACAGCACAATCTGACAGTGCATCCAGACAACCATCCCATTCGCCCCTACATTTTTAACATCACTTCTGAGATACACACTCAAGCCTTACATCTCCTTTCCCCAGATAATTCCATTTATTGCCCGTTTCAATCCAGCCATGGCCTGTGCACATCTGGCATGCTGCTGTTCACCACAGTCTTCCCTGCAACAAACAGTATTGCTTCTTAGAGCCTGACACAGAAGCTAGGCCACCACACGGACTACTTTGCCTTGCCACCCGTCACTGTGAGCCAGCCAGCAGGAAATACCCTTAGCTGTCAATGCCTTTCATTTATGCAATTGGTTGAGCTCTTCACTTTAAAGCCAGAGGCCTTAATATAGACTGGTTGGGAATTCTTTCTTGGCATGAGTAATGGCTGATTACGGTGATTCAGAATAGCTTCTGGAAACACAGGGCTCATAAGGAAAAACTGCTTCATAAGTAGAAGATACATGTTCAATAATTTTGATAACACTTTCCCTTTTAAGCCAACATTTTTGAAACATCTTCACAGCCAACCTATTAGCATTTACATATCAGAAGCAAATATTTATCTGCCTAACTAAGTATCTTACTGATTTTGACATTAAATACTGGCTGTACAATTCCTCTGTTTTGGGAAATCCCTTGCACGCATTTTCTTCTTTTCACTCTGAAGTCTAATCCTCTCGCTCTCTTCCCCCATCCTTACCAGGACTAGCTTTAATAAGCTTCTAAAGTATCTGCTTCAGGGGCTGACCACACGATATTACTGAAGTTGTGGTCCCTAAGCTGTCTAAATAACTAAGAACATTAAGAGGGAGATAATTCATCCACTACGACCTGCATATTATCAAAGCACTCATCAAAAATAAAAGGAAGTTTTGATATTCTCAGTCCAAACAATCTGTATCCAGTAGTGACAACAGCAGGATTAAACTGCTAAACACAGTGGTGACTCCCCATAGGTGACATCTCTGGATATTTGGTAGAACTGGGATATCTACCTCTTTGTTATTTGTTGTCATGCAGTGACCAGAATACTGCATCTTGCAATCTGAACTACCCAAAATACCTTACAGAAAAGTGAGATTTAAACAAAAGGAACAATTCAAGACAGAAGGAGCACAGTACCTTCCTTTGAAGCATAGCTGGATCTTAATGAATGTTTAGCTTATCAAGACAAGATTATTTAGCCCTCATGTGTGTTGTACATATTGGGAGAGGAAACTTCTTGGAAAAAATCTGACAATTTATAGATATGAATAGAATAAATCTCAAATAAGACGGTTAGTTTAATATGAGAGAAAGAAAAAAAAAAAAAAAACGTAGAGAGAGCTCCAATATACTGCAGAGAAAGAAGATAAAATAAAAGATCAGAAAATTATTAAACTTATCCAACACATCGATGTAAAGGAAGATCACAGTGGCACTTCTGACGTGCTCTCCTGCTCATGGCAAACTCACTTTGGTTCCTCTAACGAAGGCATGAGCAGGAGGAGAATACAATTGATGTATTGCCATACACCTTTTCCAGTAACAACTTCTGTAACAGTTAAGTTCAGGTAAAAAATAAAAGACAGCTGTTTCCCAAAGGGTAAATTCTCTGTTGATAGGACATGACCTGTCACTGGCAGCATGCTGATGGATGCAAACTTCTACACTTGCCCGTCTCTCCCCAGATTACAGATGTTCTAACATTATACAGACACTGAATAAAACTTTGAAGTTATGATCTGACAGCACTCTGCAATGGTAACTTCTGACATTGCCAGCTGTGCAAAAATCAGGTGAGTGAGCGCCTGAGAATAGATGAAGAGATGTATCATAAATGTTTCAGAAACTGTCAGTTTCCAGAAAGTCATGCCACAAAGAATAACCCTTGGAGATTTTCCATAGGATAACTCAGCATGATCTTTCTTCAAAATAAAACTGGAGAAGGGAGGGGAAGAGCAGAGTAAAGTAAATTAAAACAAAAAGACCACAAACCCATCCTGGACAACAAAATGTCTTGCTATGGCCTGTTCAAGAAAACCAAAATTTGGGCAGAAAACAGAAAAAGAAGTTGAGGCACATGGATTACACTTTTAGTATTGTGAGCCACGTACTTTCTGTACGACCTATACTTTCACTTTTGTAACACATATCACGGTGGTAAATATTTTCACAGGAAAGACCTTGCTTCTCCACAGTTCAGTGAAAAATATCCAAAATCACGCAAACAATTCAGATCAGTTACCACGTAAGATGGTCTCCATTTACGACACTAAAAACTCCAGGAAATTTTCAGGCACTGCCATTATATAGGAAGTAATGTCATGGTTCGTTGTCATGTTTTATGAATAAGACTTAGAAAAGAAGTAGCAATTTCCTTAGTAACATGACTGAGTGCTCAGTAATGGGACTGGTAGCTGGGCAGCCCTGCATAAACTGTGATTACTCTCTCATGAGTCATTACATCCTTTTCCTAAGAGTTGACTTTGCCTTCAAATCAAACTGAGAATTGGTCTTCTCCTTTACATACAACACTTTACACAACATGTCCTTGTACATATTTTAAAGATTTATCTGCAACCTATAAGAATGAAGAATTCATAGGACTGCCTATGCTAGCTGCATTATGTTACTGTGAGTTACTACAGAAAGCTACTGAGAGTTAAACTGAATCACGCTAGATTAGAGTCCTTGTTGTCATTTTTGCTGCTTTCACACTGTATTAAATTTATTTCAGAAATGGGTTTATTGAGATGTTGTTAGACCTCTGAAAGCACTAGTGCCCTGAAACAACTACAGCACCTCTGCCAAGCCCTTTCTATCAGTATTCTGACCTGTCATAGCCCTTACTCATCTGTTTATCTACATAGCATCATGTTGTCTGCCCATCACCTTGCTGCAAAACTTCTAGTGGTGAATCACGGTACTTCATGATATCAGATTGGGGAGGCTAAGAAAACAGTGGTGTGCAGAGCATTTTTGGCCACACATCACACATAGCTGTGGCCATGTATGGTCACCATAGACTTCTGCTTTCAGAAGGAAAGGAGTACATACACTTGTTTATGTTCGTATCAATGTCTTTGCATTAGGTGAAAATATACAAGTGGAGGACATAACTGACAATTAAGACAGTCCCAAGAACTGTGCTGCTCTAGGCTGCTTACCTTAACTATGCTAGGAGTTGAGTACTTGCTAGTTCACAAGAGATCATTTACAGGATGTCCTTGGCTCACAGTTAGAAAAAGAGATAATGCAATGAAACAAGAGGATTCACTGGAACTTTTCAGTTTAATCTTAAACATCAGAATTACAGTCCTAAAATAACAGGGAAGAAATCTATCTACTTTAAAAGTGCTGCTGTTTATCTGTAAAGATAGAACCCAAATTAACTACACAAGATGAGTACAGGGGATGCTTAGATTGCTCAGATAGCAGTTCTCATAGATTTTTTAATGAACAAAAGCTAAAGCAAGTTTCTACTCTAGGCTTGTCTTATAAGAGAAACAGTCCAAACAAGCAAAATGTTACATGCCCTCAACTCCCACAGATGCCCCATGGAAAAAATAATGCTCAGCTAAGAAATCAAGTTAATTTGCTGGTGATTTTTAAATTTTAATTTTGAAACTGCAATAGTGCTTTCTAAGATTTGCCCTGGTTGCTAACCGAAATGACCAATTTTAGCCATCATCTCTGCAGACCTCCATGAGAAAGTTACCAACATCCAATTTTGCTGAATGTTCTGTCTTAGGCCTGGAGACATGAGGTCTTCCCAAAACTTCAGAGGGCTATCGGTTACGAGTTAGAGTCAAGAAGCCTTGCAATCTCTAGCCTCAAAACACTTTGCAAACTATCAGCCCCATAAATGATCATCCTAGAAATAATGCTTCAGTAAAAGCAGAAGAGTTTGAGGAGTTACAAAAATCTAAGCTCATTCAGTGACAAACTGAAGCACGAGAATGCTCTGGTTTGTTGCAGTTTCAGGCAACAGCACATTTAATTTTTGCTAACCTAGAAGAACACAAACTGGGTTCATGTAACGCCTGATGCCTGAGCCTCATTCACTACTGGATAAAAACTTCAGCTCTGACACATCAGTATTTTCCAGTAGGAACTGGTTTACTGTTAGACACCTCTAATCTACAGCTCGAGAAAGTGAGTCTTAAATCAGAAAGAAGTTGAAATGTTGGGAAAGATTTTCACTGTGGCTATCAGAAGTTTTTACAGCTGCCCGTTGCTGAATTCTACGTGCCATAAGTCAGCTAATATCAGCCACTCTTTGAAGCAAAAAATAAAAAAATAAAAAATAAAACACAGCCTTTGTCAGAGAAAATAAAAATTGAAAGATTACATATCATATCATAACAGCTACCAATTAGTAAATCCATTCTATGCTACAAAAATAAATTACTGCACATATCTTATGACAGTAACATGTTCACCAGCACCACCTCCAACCTTCAATTCAGTATTGAAAATTACGTTAAACAACTTGTGTTGGTATAGATTAGACAGACCAGTTTCAGAAGTCTGAAGTATACATTTAAAGCTGCATTTAAACCACTTGTTGTTGGCTACTTTTGACAAATGACTAATTAAACTGGAAGAAAGTATTAGAAAAAAAAAAAAGTTACATAAGGTTTTATGAGCTCCTTTTTACTAGAGGGTATATTTTCCTTTTTTGCCCTAGCAATGAAAAAGCTATTACTGAAGAGATAAGACTTCCTCGTGTGCTTTTATTTTTTTCATGTTTCTGTAAAAAGTCTCAAATACAAGAGAGCTAACAACACCTCTGCATGTGACAAATGTTGAGTTTTGGTTGTTTTTTTTGTTTGCTTGTTTTTTGTTTTTCCCATTTAGAACATAACTGATGTAGAAAACAAGGATAAACAGAAGGCTAGAAAGCAGGCACAGAATTTGGAACTTTCAGTGGATTAAATAATACGGTCAGAGGTTTATAACTTTGTAATAGCTCCTACATTGCTGAGCTCCTAAAACGGAAATGGCAAAACCTTGCAAATCTTTCAGTGAGGGGAAAGCAGACCACACAGGTAGCAACACCACCTTTATTACACAAATGAAAGTTTTCAAAGCATCCTCCTCTCCATCTGTTGGCAGAGCTACTAAAATACTTCAGCACTAGTCTGGAATCTGCCAGGTTAACACTACATACCACTGCCCCAGAGCACTCTGGTTGTGTTTGCACTGAAATAGAAGTAAAAAAGAATGAGCAAAAGAGTTTTATCTGAGTGACAAGAGGCAAGACATCTGTAAACTAGTTGTGGCTTTAATCTAATCATTTTGGCCTTCTAATAAAAGTACATGAGAGACTCTCAGTTATTTTATGATGATTTTGAATACATAGTGTTCTCTATTTATGCTGTCCCTAGCACAAGTAAGAATCTGCACTGCTACTCATCTTCCTTCTCAACATCCTAAGTCTCCCTCTCATTCATGAGACCTAAGATCCGTATGTCAAGAAATTACTCACATTTAAATTTTACACAATTGCAGCTGGGCAAGAAATACAATATATGCAGGAACAGTTATTTAAAAGTCTAAATGAAAAATACCTTTTCCCCACCAAAAATTGGAACTTATTGTGTGTAAATTACATTTACTCTAATTCACATTTTGTGTATTATTTTATACTCACTCACAGTAAATTATGTCAATGTCTATATTTTATTAAATTGCACTAAGGCTGGGCTTTATAAGACAAAATTATTAAAGTTCCAAATACATATCTATTAATAGTGCCATCTGTTTGTAAAGGAAAATCAATATAAGACAAGGAAAGAATATTTATACCATTAGCCTCCCAAAGGAGGCTCTCTAAGATGTTAATGAAATCATACCATACGAGCCATACGATGCTATTAATCAGAATCCAGCTCAGTAAGGAGAGATACTGGAAAAAGTATCTAGCTCTTAGAATGCGTCATAAAAATCTTCTTGTCACTTCGCTTTAACATATATTTCCACTTGTAATACAACCAGTGTACAGAAATATACACCATGAATACTTAGAAGTGACATTTAAAAAGCAAAAAAGAAAAAAAAAAAAACAACCCTATATTTGAACTCACAGATACGAAGGAACCAAGAAATACCTTTTTGTTTTTTTGATGAAGCTATTTCCAGAAAAGGTTATGTTATTTCCTGACTTATTTACAATGCTAAACAAATTACAGAAACATGCTGGATGACAGCTGAGAACATTCACAGCAC